ATCCGCGCGGCGCGGCGAGGAGTGTAACGCGATTCCAGGGGATGTCGGCGTGTTTGCCGAAGCGGCCGGAAGGGAAGACGGAACGGTTAACCGTGGCGCGAGCGATATTTGTTTCCGTCCCCGGCCGACCTCCTCTCTTTTCCCCGGCTGCTTGATTTTCGAATTCGAGCTGCACGATTCGTTAGCCGCCCGGCGCGGGCCGCGTCTCCCCGAAAGAGCCGGCGCTCTGCCTATGACGCGGACGAACGAGGGCTGGCAACAAGACAAGTGTTTGCTCGGCGTTCGGTAGCACCGGTTCTCTCGTTAGTTAGCCATTTAGCCGGCGCTGGCTGGCTGGCTGCTGCGGGAGCACATCCCCGTGCTCGAAACTTTCTCCCCTCGCCTCCCTGGGAAAATTGAAATCGATCTGACGGAAACTGCGCCGCGTACACGCGCGCGGCCTCTGATTAACGAGCGACGCAAATGTTTTCGCCAAGTTCCGCCTAACGCTTTCGGCGGCAGTTTGCCCGGCCGAACTTCGCCGCTTACCGTCCCATTCCGACGAGAGCGCGTTACGAGCAAGCGACAGTTTTCGACGTCGTTCGCGATCGATCCCGTTCTTTCACGGTGAGATCTTTATTCGTTTCCGCTTCGGGCATTCGCGTTGATCGCCGTTGTATCGCTGCGGGTATCGCCGAAGTTTTTCATGGTTGTTGCCAACGAAATTGTCCGCTGTTGGAAGTTAGGCTACCTATAGGTAGCGACGCTGAGAATTTTTCGTTCGTGCTGGTAGCTTTCGAATTGCCATCGTTGGTTTCGTAAGTGGACGGAGGATAGTTAATAATCGTCTCCATTTATCTCCGCCGCGGAAGAATAAGCGACACGGGTGTAAAACACCGAAGGTTCTCGCGGCAGCGAACGCGTCGAGACGAAATTTCCAGCGCCGAGCCGAGCGCGCAACGACCACGGACCACAGGGAAGTTTTATCATCGTCGTCGTTGTCACCGGTCGGCCCGGAGATCATTCGTCAACCTCTTTCGGACTGTTAATCCGGGAGGAAAGAAACCCGGCGAAGTTAATCCTCGGGAACGGTGCACGGCAGATCCTCGATAGCTGCCGGGAAATGGGTTTGAAAGTGCACGAGACCCATTCGGGTTCGTGCAATTCACGAGGTAGAAAATCAGCCTTTTGCTGGCTGTAATAGAACCGCGGAAATGTGCTGGAAAAGAACGAGGGAAATGAAAAGAGGTATACCAGTCGACTCATGGGTGAAAGTACCTGGTAGCTGCTGTATTTGATTAAAACTAACATCCCCGGTTCTTCCTTCCGCCGTACCTTTTCCATTCCTGCGTTAACAATTGCGCGATCATCTCCGACAATCGAACCAGCAGGGCGTCGACCCGATCCGGTCGTCGATCGACGGAGAATATCGTGCAATAGAGACGCGAAAATGGCAGAAAAACAGAGGACGTCGCAGAGTCGCGTCCGAGTTTCGATAATAAGGAACAGATACGTTAAATCTCTCGATCGTTCGAAATCCCTGGAGACCCGGTACCCTGTGGGAAAAACAGCCCCGGGAAATCGACTCGATGGAAATCGGAAGCGTTCGGAATTGCCAGCTCTCGAAAGCAGCAGCAGGAACAGCTTCCGGCGAGTCCGGCGTGACGGCGCGGTTATCCGTCCGCGAATCTCTCGCCTGCCGTATCGGCCAAAGAAATGCTAATTGCAGAACTAATTGCGACGGCAACAAAGACACCGAGGAGAGGGCCGGTATCTCGCACGACAAACGTAATTGCGGGCCAACGGAGAGACAATTAACTGCTCCATTCTCGCGGACAAATGGCCGCGCATTACCGGCGTGTCCCCGCGTTGCACACGAGCGCCCGAGCGCGCGCACGTGTACACGGAGGCGAGCGTCGGGAGGGTACGCGCGTTATTTAACCGTCGTTTCAGCGTTATTTTACGCGATCGCGAATTCGCCGGCCGGCTTCGGCGGACTATGCAAATCCGCGGGCCGGATTATGCATTCCATCAATTATAAATGCGCCGGGAACACGTATCCGGCCGGCGGGGGAGCCAGCCCCTTCCGACTCGTCGAACACGGCCCGCACGACACCGTCTTCGCGATCCCCGTTTCCATCAGCGCGACACGGAACAGCGGGGATATCATTCTTCGGAATGGAAAGTGTGTCCGGGCACTCGATAAAATCGCCGGCAGCGCGACGGGAACGGTTGATTCGCATTCACCTCGGTCGACTTTCCGAAGATTCGAGGGCGGAACGATAAAGCGGAGGAGAGGGTGGCGTTGAACGCCGATTAAAATGAAAATAGCCACTGGCCGGGTAAGTCCGCGAATTAAACCGGTGCGGCGGTCGGTTCGCGGCCGTTTATAATTTCGACGGGCTTGTTAGCGGCCGTCGGGCATGAATGTTTCATGAGCGACGGCCGAAAACGTTCGAATCGGAACCAGCCACCGACAGGGGTGAGAGTGACGCGGGCTGCGAGCTGAAAAACCGTCGGGGAACAGCGAAAGCGAGGATAGCTGAGTCGGGAATTAAGGGAAGGCGAACGACGAACGTTCGACGGATTTGTCGGCGCCCGTGGAAAAGATAAGATGGAATCTTCCGTGCGAGAAGTCGTTCCTTCGCTTTCAGAGTCTCGTTACTTCTTCGATCGCGCGCTCGTCGCGGAGAGATCGCCGTGGAGAGAGAAAGAGGGAGGAAGAGGAGATCGAATAACGAACGCGACGGAGCTGTATCGTTCGAACGTTCCATCTTTCGGGAAATCCATCGCGACGACGGCTCCGGCGGTCGTCGGGATATTTCCTCGTCGCTTTTTCCCCACTCGGCCGGCGGCTAAAAGCAAAACGACGGGCGAAACGCGCGCGGAGACAGCTGGTGGCAAGTAAAAAGCTAATATGCTGCGGCGCGTACGTCCACGTGGAAATCGGCGCGGCCGTTTGACGCGGAAAATCGTCAAAGGGGAACGACAGCTTTCCCGTGCACGAGCGCTACATTAAAGCTACATTACCGAGTAGCCGCGCGAGCGGACCGACCGCTTTTCCCCTTCGCGCGCCCTCGCTCGCCGCGTTTCTCTCTGCCGCGTCGGACGAGGGCAGGCGCTGCGTGAAACGCCGGAGAGTCCGCCGGACGCGGCAGGGAAAAAGCCCGTAAAAACGGGAGAAAGGAAAACGAAAGCGACTCGCTCCGGGAGAGGCGAAACCGCGTGAATCTCGCGCCCCTGGATCCGGCGGCGTTCAAAAGATCGTTCGACGTTCAAACGCGTTTGATCCTGTTCCAAAGAAACCTTTCTCGTGGAACGAAAGTGGACCGCCGAATCACTCGCGCAAAGTAATCGTCCGGGCGAAACGGAAACGGAAGGTGAAGACGTTTCGTTCGACGAGTCGATTCGCCGTGAGATCCACGGAATAAGTTACACGCGGCCGAATGCGGCGCGAGATGGCAAGAAACGGAGGAGCAAACCGCCCGCCGCCGAATTCCGTCGAGTCTCTCGCCTCGCGAATCGATAATTCGCAAAGGGTACTTCCTCGTTCCCGTCCCACCGGCTCCCATTATTTGTCCACACCCACTCGACCCAGAACAGAACCGCGTCGAAACGTCTGTTTGCTCCCCTCGATCGACTGCTGCTACTCGACGAGTATCATTTTCAGCGGTGTTCGAGAGCAGAGACACCGGGCAGCGATGTTCTTTTCGCTCCGCGAGGGTGGAGATCACGGGGCGCGAGGCGCCGCGTCGTCGCGTGCAAGAAAGCGACAGAAGAGTACTCGATAGTCGATACGCCGGCGGGGGGAGTTTCTGCTGAATTGACCGTTAACGCGTTATTAGGAGGTCGACGCATATATGCGTCGGGAGGAAGGGCTCGGCAGCCGGTGGAGCGCTTAAAACGAGAGAGGGCGCGCGGCCCCTCTTTCTCGCTCGCTCGCTCGCTCTTCCTCGATTGCTCGCGAGCGTGCGTGTGTGCGGGATGCTCGCTAAGTGGTCCATTCAACGCTGCCTGACGGAATACATTACAGGAAGTGGCAGTTAAAAAACCTTTTCCCCCGGCGACCCCCCTGCACGGCATCTTCTGGGCCTCGTCTTTCATCGGGCGTAACGTAATTCTTCCCTTAATTCGAGCCGTTATTATACCCGCTCGCCGCGGCGGTGGCACGCGTTCGTTTCTTGGTCGGAACACGCTACCGGTTCCTCGACGCGATGGTCGGCGCGGCCACCGGTGACCGGAGCTTCTCAATAAAGCGGCCGCGACGACAAGACTAACGTCGGACGAGGATAAAGCGGGGCGAGCAAGTGGATAATAGCGTAACGCGAGAACCGTGATACCAAATTATTAATAAATAAAGGAAAAACCATCGCTACGGTAAACGATTCAATGGGCCGGGAACAAAGCGAGCCGGCTCGCGCGTCGAGCGTGTACGACCGAAGCCGATTACGTCTGATAATTGGCCGGTGTACAGAGGAAACGCGCGGCGCGGGCAAATATTGTCTTAGGCGGCCGGGAAGGAGCAGGCGACCGGTTCGTCTGGTTGTCGCCCAGTTTCCCACCTGCAGTTTTCCGTTTAACCCGTTCGCGTTGATTCTATTCTGTTCGTTGACCCGTCCGGTTCAGCTGTAACCGGCCCGGCAAAACGGATTACAAAACGCGCGCCCGGCTAATCCGTTCAACCCTTAAATCAACGAATCGAATTCGGAACAGCGACGCGGCCCGGTAATCGCGTAGGACGCGGAACGATCTTGTTACTCTGTGATTGGCGAAATTATACGGGAAAGGGTCGCGAGGTCCCGTTCAATTTACCGTTACGATCGCGTAAAGCTGCATGAAAACGCGTTAATTCACGAGCTGCAACGTCGACAGCGCGAGACTTTACGGCGGCCCCGTCGCTCGGGGATGAAGAGGACGTTCTTTTCCTCCTTCGCCGCTTCCCTTGATCCCCGGCCGCCCCCTCCCGACCATAAAACCGTAACCAATAGCGATCGGGAACCGCGGTGAAAAATTGTCGTTACCTTGCGGAGCATCTCCTCGAGCGACTCCATGTCCAGGGCGGGGTTGTTGTTCTCCGTGCGTACGGGCTGAACCATTTGTCACTGTTTTCCCGTCAAGCCAAAGTGGTAGTTTCCTGATCGCGCTATCCTTTCGGGGAAGATTCAGCTCTTGACCATCGCGCGAGCTCTTGGGAAAATTTCCACTTTCCAATCTCGAGCTCCGATTCGACGATTAGCGAATCAACTGCCCCTCCCAGTAGAAAAATTCATGGACGCGCGGCTGCGACGCGACGAGTCGGGCATTGTGACGGGGAACGACGGCCTAGGTTGTAAGTTGAACCGGTCGAATCTCTCCCCGAGGGATCGAGCGGATCGAAAAACGACTCGAGGAGAGATCGAAGACGCTGGAGACAAAGCTAGCGTCGCGGCGCGGGGTCAGCAGGATATATCTCCGGTTCGAGGCGGACTCCTATTTTAACCGGCGTATAAATTACGGACGGCGAGTCCCTCTCGGCTAAGGGCGACGGAGAGACGGGAGTCCCTCGTCTTTTTGGCGGTGCTTTCGAACTTTTCGTCGTGGCTCCGGGACACGCGAGTCCCGCGGGGAGGACGGCGCGGAAACGCGGGCAAAACGATCAGAGAAAAACCGGGCCGCGTCGACGATGGCGACCAAGACGACGAACAAGAAGGAGGAGACGATGACGAAGACGACGACGACGACGACGACGACGACGAAACGCGGCGTCGAGGGTGTTCGCGGCGGCGGCGGCGGCGGTCGGTCGCGCTCGACTATTTTCGGGCGGAGGATATTTTTAAGCGCCGAACGACCGATTTCCAGGAGAAAGAAGCGTCCCGTTTCCTGCCCCCGTCCTCAAAGAACACGAAGACGAGGAGGAGCAACAGTCGACGACCGTCACGGCCGATCGAGACGGAAAACGCGCACCGGCTGCGTCGTCTTCTTTCCCTTTCGCTTCTTCGTCCTCCTCCTCCTCGAGTTCTTTACTCCCCGGAGCGAGCTCGCTTCCGACTAATTGAGCCTGCCCACTGAAAAACGCGCCGCGGAATTTTCTTACCGACCCGCCTGCACCTCCTCAGACTACTCGGGCTGTTTCACTGTCCCGTGATTCCCAGCGTGTTAATGTGTTTTCCTTCGATCGCCGTTTCTCCGACTGCCCGCCCTCGACGAATTCGTTAGCGCGACGGACTCGGGTGGTAATGGATCGAGTTACCTCTGCCGTTTTTCTCTCCGAACCGACCAGGATTGCGGAGGAAGGATCGAACGAGAAAGACTTTCGCGGGATCGTCGGCTGGCCGCGGTTAAGAGACAGTTGTCCATCTATCGAGGACAGTTACGCGAGTAGCCTCGGAATTCCTATGACGACCAACACTGAGAGGAATAGGGGAACGGAGAGTTCCTTCGCGGAACTCGTTCGTAAAATTCGATGGTAACGGCGAGCGACGTCTTATTAATTTCCTCGAGTAGTCGACTCGGTCCCCGATACACCCGCGACCCGGTTGTTTCGTTAATTACCGCGGGAACTCGAACCGAACCGACTTTTTCTCGGTTAATTTCCCACGAGAGGGCATCGGCGTGGTGTTTCGCCGGCGAGCGAATCGATTCGATTTCACGGATACGGGGAAGAGCCGCGCCGGGGCGAATGATTTTAATAAACAGGATTCGTCGGGCACCGTTCGACGATCGATCGGTTCTAAACCGAGGCGAAGCAGCTTCCCGCGCTCCGGGATCTTCGACGCGACGAGAATCCTACGACCGACCCGCGAATCACGCGACGCGGCGATGTTTGCCTTCGGAACGTTAACCGGCTGCGAGCGAATGAAATCGATTGGCCGGCCGTTCGAGCTGTATCGCGCGGGTGGCGGGGACGTGCAGGTGCGTCGGGAAACGGTTCCCGGTCGTTTTTTCAGTCCATTAATCGGAGACAATCGTCGGATAGGTGCCGACAGTCGATTCAACTCGGCGCGGCGCCGGGACGCACGGGAGTCTCGTAATAAACGGATACACGCTGAAAGGCTCGCGAGCGATAGTCGGAAGAGTCGGGCGGGGGCGAAAGGTGATTTCGCTAAACCGACGTTCCTTTTTGTCCATTTAACGCGCGCGCTTCGACGGTGAAAACCTCGTGTGCACTGGCTGGCCGAACGCTCGTCGCCGCTCTTCCACGGCCTCGCCCTCTCTCTCTCTCGCGCTGTTCGTCTCCCTATCGACTGATGTTCGTTTGAGCTCTCGACACGAGGCTAGGCCGGCCGCGTTTTATCTCGATCCTGTGATCAAAGCTTAATTGAAAAAGGGCCGGGGGTGGACGCCGACCCGGTGTCCCGACCGTCGCCGAATGGAAACTGATACCGGGGGCCGAATACGATCGACAATGCAAGCCTTTTTGCTCCCCCGTCGCGTCGTTGTACCTCGGTATTCGCGGCTCGGTTAAATCGAGAGATTGGAAGCCGCGGGAACTCGAACAGGAAATGGAGGATGAACGCACGAACCTATGCGCGAACGTGTGTACCAGCGAATCGGCCGACGATGGACTGGTTGCGCAACCGAGCGCCGGATACTGCGATGCAATTTTCAGGAGCAACCGTGTGATGTCATTCGACGATTAACCGACAGTCGTCCGTCTTAATTCTTCACGTGGGACGCGTGTGCCGCCGCTAATACGGTCACCGTTACGGCGCTCGCCGATCGTCGAGGCCTCCGAGTCGCTCGGGAACGATCGCGAGAGAAAAATTAACGTCGAGTAGAATGCTCGGCGACCGAGTCTGCGACCGGGGGAAAAAATAACAAGTACAATGTACCACAGGCGGGCGAACAACGTATTACCCTCGCGCGCGCGTTTCTACGGGTCGCTCGAGAGAGCGCACCGTTTACGGCCGGTTCAAACGCGCATTATCGTTCGACAATCGGGAAAAAACGATAGAAGGAGGAAACGCTCGAGAGGGAGTCCCGTGTGTGCGCTCACCTGGCTGGGTCCTCGAAAGAATCGTCGGCTCAGCACGGCACACGCTCGAACGAGCGCACCTACTCTGCTAATTGGCTGCGAACTTGAGCCGGGTACCGATTAATTACCGGCTGCGAAAAGATCCCTTGATTTTTCTCGCTCGGCCGTGAGCCGTTTACCTGCTAATTAGTATCGTTGGCCGTGGGGGGAGGCCGCGCTAATTGTCTTAGCGGCGCCGAACCATCCGACGAGCGAACGCGCCGCGGCGATTCGGCTGGCAGACGCGCGCGCGGAGGGCTCCCGCGATCGCTGGAGAAGGCCCATTCGACGAACGCCTTTTACGGGGAAATCGACCGAGAGACCCGTCGCCCACGTCTCCGTCGTTCTTTCAAAACCGCTCTAACGCATAGACTCTAGAGCTGTATCGGTGGGCCCGCGAGCCGTGAATCTCCGCGCGCGTAGATCCGTCGCAGCGGGGACGATCGCGGCGTGTGGGTGACCCGAGTGAAAGCTAGGCGTCGGGATGCGCCGACTTGCGTCAGTCATATAAATAGTGATACAGAGATACCAGTGTTCGACCTTCCTCCTCCCACTATCTAGTCGAATATACGTTTCCCCGATAAATTGACCGATAGACCGGCGTGTACGCGCGGCTCGGCCTGGTAAACGGTTCTAAACAATTCGTAAAATCGTCGGTCGCCGCGCGGGGAGGCGGCGTGGCCCGCGGATAAACGAATAAATTACAGCGAAAAGCACTCGGGCCAGCCACGAGGGTGGTCCGTTTCCCGCTCGAATCGGAGCGCATCGCTCGCATCGATTCCCTCGTTATTGCGCCGGCGGTCGCGTGTTCGGCTCTTCGAGTTCGCGCCTCGAGCGCGACGTTCCCCGCGTCGTTATCGTAACTTCATTAACTACGTGTTACCGAAACTCCGCAATTATGCGGCTCGAGCCGGCGCCGGGACCGCAATTTCCAATTAAAAACCGTTGGAACCGTCGATCCTCGGAACTAGAAGCGCCGGCAACGTACTCGCCGGCTTCTCCGCCGGTAATAACCAGGGAAATCTCGGCGACGATCGATCCCTCCCCGACGCCCCCGCGCGTTCCTCCGGGCCGATCAAACGGCGCGAGGCGAATCGGCCGGACGAAAGCGCGCCACTTCGAGCCGAGTGGCCTTCCGCGTCGGCGATATGGAGCAGTTTGCTCGATACGTGCCTCGCGATTGCCAATATTTAAACCACCTTTGATTCGCTAATCGCCGACCTTGTACCACTTTCCCTTCGAACTTGTCCCGACGATGCGACGTCCGAACTGGCGGCCGCGAGTTTGGAATCGCTTCGTGGGTCGATGGCGACGGGCTCGTTAACGCCGCCTTTCGATCGCTTATTCGAGGTCTTGGCTCCGTTATCGACTATCCGCGTAAACTAGTTAACATTCGCCGGACGATAACATCGAGGCGACCGTTTCGCCAAGTCGTGCTGCGAAGTAAATGCGACGTATTAGAATTGGAGCAGCGAAGGCGTTGAATCTGATGCGAGAACGGCGACAACCGGGTCTCGATCCATCGATCGAAAGCACCGAGCGATTCCAGGCGGTCTCGGTCGCCAGCGTTCGTCCCCAAACCCGAATATCCCCTTATCTTGGAGCACGTTCTCTGTACCGAGAGATCAACGAAGCATCTCCAAACGACACTGGACGTCGCGAAACACAGCGCGTTCACCGGCGACCGGTACTGTCCGTGCAGTCCACGCGGATCATGCCACGGCCGGTGTCCTCGGAGGGTGACGACGGTCAAGAGAGTATCAGTTCCTTCGACACTGATCACTGGACGAACCGCACGGGTCGCGGATCGAACGGGGAGCAGAGCGTGTGTCGTCTAATTGGACGTAGCACGGGTTCGTATCACTGATCACCGGACGCGCGCCTTGCGACGAGGGGGGCTCGCCTCGCAAGGACGAGCGGAAACGTCCATCGCGCGTCACGGAAGTGTCACCGCAGCCCACGCCGCGAGGAACGGGACGAGAGGTACGCCGGTAGCGGCAGCGGAAGTGACGGCAGTGGTGGGGACGGTTGATCGCGTGCCTCGCGAAAACTCGATGATCGATCGAACCTCGCTATAAACGACGCACGAACGGACGAACGAAGGACAGAGAATACGCGAGCCGCGTGCTGCTCCGGTCGCGGTTCACGGGCCACTGAGAGGGAAGTTGTATTCTAGCCTTGTGTCGAGCCACCGGAGACAGAGGGAACTAGAGAGAGAGAGAGAGTGAGAGACCGTCAGGAAGGGAGAGAGAGGGGCGAAGCGTGCCGTACGTCACATGCGCGCTGTAACCCCAAACAAAAATGCCGGCTGTCCTTGTCGGACGAGTTCCAGCGGCGGAACGAGGCTCGCTCGCCGACTAGCGCACTCTCTCGCAGCCTGCACCGTCAACAACAATAACAACAGCACGCGCGTCGCACGGGGATGCGGCGGATCACTGCAGAATACGGAATCGGGAGGTCTGCCAAACTGCACCGCAACCTCTCCGCTCCCTCCGGCTGTTCTGTTCGCTGACAGCCGCTCGTAATCACCTTTTTCGCACAACTGCGGCAACCTACGGGCCAGCGCGAGCCTCCGCCGCCCCGGCCACCTTCCCCCGACGATGGTTACGTAAGGAACACCGGGGATGATCGGGCTCCGCTGGCGTGGAACGGTTCCGGGAACACGGTTCCAGACAGCACCGCCCGCGGCCGTGTTTGACGCGCGAATCGCCGACTGACGGCAGTTACATCGGCCGGGTCTAACAGCCCCGCTGTGTTCGGGGAGCCCGTTTAATTGCGATGTCTACAAACGGACGGATATCCTACCTATTCGCTGGTTCAGCGGGAGCTCGTTTGATTGACTGTTTCTCGACGGACACTCACCTGGAACAGAAAGGAAAGGTCTACGGTTAGCGAGCTGGCCGACGTCGCGTTCGTTTTGGGGTTGGAGAGCGGCCTCTTCCTCCGCTACCTCCGGGAGGTCGGCGAAACGAAAAGTTGCTTTAGCCTTTGTGTCGTCGGACTCGTTCGAAATCTAGAAAAAACGCGTCGGAAGAAGCGACGATTCCGAGTACCGGATGCCAGACCCCTGGCGGCCGTAAAAGCAGAGCGGGGCGCGTTTAAAAGACTCGAGGGGCGCGGCTGGAGAACACGCTCGCGTCAAACGGCATTTCCTCGGCGGGGCATCGCGTAACGTTATTGTCCTGACGCGCGTTACCGCAAGAAAGCGATAGCGGGTCGGCTGAAGTGCGCGCGGCGCACTTGCCGCGCGAAAGCGAAAAGGAGGAAGGCCGCGTTTGATATTCGCTGGACGGGGTAGACGGGACGGAAACGTGGCCAGGTTGCGAGCGACCGGCTCGAGAGTCTTGGGGGAGACTCCTCGCGGGTATCCGCGCGTCACGCCGCGCCGGGCTCTCGGTTTCCGAGTGTCACTTTACGGCTGACAGCGACGCCCGCGAACCGATAGCGCCGCATAACCGGGTTTGCGCGCGACGACGACGACGATTCGACGGGTCTACCAGTCACGGAGGAACGCCGACTTCCGGCGAGAGGAGCGAACGGGAAGAGGGACCGATGCGAGCGTTGTTTCAATTTTAGAGCCGACAACGGCGGACACCGTGCGCATCGGAACTTCTCGAGAACTCGAGGCTGGTCGTTTCCTCGGACGGCTCTAATGGACGCAGAATTTACGGTTCGCTCGCTTCGAAGAGTCCGCGGACTTCCGCAGCTTCTGGAAAAGATAACGAGACGCTTCTGCGTTTTGGCACCGGGTTCGCGGTGCCGGCCGGCTTAATTCCCGCGGGCGATGAATTACGTGCGAATCTCTTAATCGCGGAAAGGTTTAACGAGCTCCGTAGACGCCGTAAATTCTCCCCTATTTCCAAATTATTCCGTCGGACGCGACGGCCACTTTTATTTGCGGCCGCGCGGCCGCGCGCGCTGACCGCCGACAATATTTCTGCGCGTCTTGGCAGTCCGAGGCGCGCGGCAACTGGGCCGGAAGTGTCCATTACGCGCGAGGAAAATTAAGTCCCGCGTATAATGGACTCTCCCGTGACCCATCCCTGGCGGCCCCGTGATCGACGCGACGATAAAATTCAAATTGCACGACGAGACGCGCGGTCTCGGTCGGAACGGAGACCTATCCAGACATCGGCGAACAGAGATCGGCTCGGATAGAGGCTCTCCGGAGATCGTACGCGGGGAAAGAATGGCCGCACGGATCAGTGAACCGAGACTCGAACTCCGATCCCTTCATTTTCGGAACGTATCCTTCGATTAACCTATCGTGTGCGCGCCGGTTCTCCTCTCTTTAATCCCGGTGTACGAGTAGCCGTTATCCGCAACAGCTCGATGCTCGTCCGAGCACGAAATACGAGGGACGGAGAGGCGGAGGCGCGAGAATTCCGCATCTGCCACGAGAAAAGGAATCGTTCGAATCGAGAAATCGCGCCAGACCCCGTGTTCATTCGGTCGAAGGGTTAGGGGCAGACTCTTTCATCTAATCCCGGTATCGAAGTAGCTGTCGGCCAAGGAAATCTATGTCTATTAAACGCAAACACCGTGCAGTCGACTGTTTGCGCCGAAAAGCTGGCCGATGGACAAAGTTTGTCCAACGTTGTTTCTCCCTTCGATGAACGTTCCGTTCCCAGTACCTATGCTCTCGGATTGATCGATATTCGACGATGACCGATAATTCAGCGAGTTCTATCGCGTTCCGAACGCTTCACGCTGGCCGGCGTACAAATCACGCGGGACCGTCCATGGAGACCGTGATCCCATCGATGGGGAGCCGCATCTTTATTTATGGCGCGTAGGGCAGTCGCTGGCCGGACAAGATGATCGTTCGGACCTAACAAAGTATCAATAAGCATTCGGGAAACTCGTCCCGAAGTCCGTGACTCGCGACGGGGATGCGTTCCCGCGGGAACCTCCGCTTTCAGGGTGCTCCGTCGTCGGCGAAAGCGTGCCGACGCGGCCCGTTCGAAAGATGATTAATCGATCCGATGGGTTAATTAGCCTGCGCGCGGTTTCATTAGAGAGGCTCTCGGCGGACGGTGGCTATGCCGGGAATTTTAGTGAAATTCCAGCCGGTTCCCGTTCGCTGCGCCGCGTCGCGCTGTGAATTTTGAGGGCCGCGCCCACGCGTCGTCACGCGTTAACCGGAGACTTTTTTCAATTACCGGGTCACCGAGGCGACGCGACCGCGTCGGCCGACGTCGCAATTATCGCGAGCGACTTCGCAACTGGGTCGAAAACGCGGCGAACGCCGCCAACTTTTCTCGAGAGAGAGAGAGAGTCTCTCGAAGCTTTTCCTAGCCTACCAAGTCACGGGTAGTTGTTCCGGAGACCGCAACAGCGAGCGGACGTAACAGAATCTGTTGCTCGAGAGGCGAATACCTAATGGAAATCGATTGTTCGCGGCGCAATTCGAAATTTGCCGAGAGAAAAGGCTGCCCGGCCAACCTCGGGAGCGCAGGAAAGAACGGACGTCCTCCCGCAGCCGCTTTTCACCGTTTCCACGCCGCATTGTTCCCGAACTTTCGCACCCCGGCGACAAAAGAGGCACGGACGCGCCGCGATAAGTCTCGATTCATCGAGGCGACGCGTCCCGAGACGGCCTTGTCGTCGACACGCAAAATACGCGAGTAGGAATCGCGTTTTTGTCCCTCGGCCGGGGAGAGCGGGCTCTCGGTTTCGCCCTTTTAAAGCCGGCCTAAGTGGATTTTCGGCAAGAATCAGCGATAAACTTGCTAGCCGGGGATCCCGGTCGCTCCCGGGACTCCCGGTGCACGCGAACCGAATCAATATCTAATTTCGCCGACTTTTGTCGTTGGCTGACGGCCGGACGAAGGGAGGCAGCCGCGAACAGGAAGGAAGGAAGGAGGAGCGCAGGCAGCGCGAACCTTGAATAGACGAGCGGGGGATGCTTCCTTCCGAATCTTTGAAACTCGATAAGGCGTGCGCCGGGAATCTCGGCGAGCCCGCATCGCTCCGAATCCGTCGACGGTTTTCAAACGCACAGTTCCCTTCTCGAAACACAGTAATAGCACGGTTCACGCTCGAGGTACGTTCCTAGAAGACAAAGCGTTGCGCGAAGCGGAGCGCAATGAGATCATCTCGGCGCGCGGTACACGGGAATCATCCGACTAAGAATAAACAAGCTTTACTTTTCTATCGACTCGATTTCAGCCGGTTTCCGAGGACGCGATCGCGCGGAATTCCATTGGACCGCCGTTAATTGTAGGCGGCGCCGAACGGGCAGTCGGCGTACCTTGAAAAATTTGTGTACCGTGGAGGCAAGTTTCAATGTTTCACTCGTGAACATCGCTACTCGATAAATCTAGATTGCTATCCAGCGTCGTCGTCGCACGGGGGACGTGCATCGTTCCCAGCGCACACCGATATATCTGGCTATTCATAATTCTCCTTTTTTCGACAGACAAAACTGCTGGGTAACGACAAACACTGGCACGCCGGCGGGATGTTTACCATCGGGGGGCGGGGGCGAGAGTGGCCCGGTCGATTTTCAAAATCTCGCGGAAATAACCGGCGGAACGTAAACGGTGCATAATTTACTTCCATCTAGTTCGATAATTGGCGAACGCACGGACGGTTGACGGTAGTTACGAAGTTCGCCAGCGGGCTCGCGCGCGCGGCTTTAATTAAATTTCCGCGTATCCTCGCGCGTTCGTTCGTCGCCGCTCGTGCCCGCCGGATGCGACGCCCGCGTCGATTCGGTTAAAAACCGTTTCCGGGGAATCGTTCGTTGCCGTTATTATAAACAGAAATTAATTTCCCCGAAATTGCGAGAGGCTGGCGCGCACCGGAAACAGAAAACCCGAGGCGAACGGATGGAGTTTCGCTATCGCGTTTGCTATTCCGCGATGTCCGAAACGAACAGACGACGAACGACTCGGGGAGGAACAAAGAAGCTTCTAAATCGATGAGGGTGCGAGCGGACGGTTCGAACGCGTGGCGAACGATCCACGAATGATCCGATAGGGGGTAGTTCCCGATGAAATTTAATAACGACCCAGCGACGCGTTGGAAACGGCCTGGATTAATATCCCAGATAAGGCTAATCATCGCGGCGATCGTTACGACGAAGACGAAAACGTTCTCCTAAGCGGCTCGATTACCCTCGCGCGTCCCGCCCCCCCGATC